ATATATATATATATATATATATATCTCCTGGAAGGAGTTAAGGTTTAGGGCTCTGAATCGAAAACACAGACTTCCAGGGAGGTGGCGGGGAGGGATTAATGTGTGAGTGAACCACCCACATCGGCTGGGGGGCGGTGGGCAGGCGCTTTCGAAGAGCATGAGGCAGACACAGTGAGACCCCCAGGAGAACGGGGGTGGGGAGGCCGAGTGGTGAGCCAGGCCCGCGAGGCTGCTGCCCCCGGGCGTGGGCACGGGTGTGTGGAGGCGGCAGCGGCGGGCATCTGTGCGGGCATCTGTGCGGGCGTGTGCACGCTCTGGCATGGGTGTTAATGTGCCAGCACTGGACGTGTGGCGGTGCAAGTATGTGCTGTGTGTGTGTGTGTGTGTGTGTGTGACAGAGAGAGGGAGAGAGAGAGAAACAGTGAGAGCGTGTGCAAGGTCTGTAATCACAGGCTCCCATCCAGAGAAAAGGGGAAGGGTGAGGAGACCCTGCAAACTGGAGGGAGGGCTGGGGCTGGGAAAGGGAAGGAGGCGGCAAATGAAATCCTGGGGGGAGGGCCCCGGGCCTCAGCGGTTACCACGGCAACCGCAGTTCTGGGTGCCCACCCCCCACCGGTCAGGACAGTGACACGACTGGATGGGAGGGGCGTAGGGAGTAAGAAGGGACAAAGCAGGGGAGTGGGGCCCCCTGAGGAAGGGGGGGAAAGGCAGCCTGGGTGTGGCTGCAGGGGCAAGGCCAGTCCCTTAGGGGAGTTTTGGGGGTACAAGGAAGTGGCTCTCTGGTCTCACTGATCTGTCATCGTCCCTGGAGTGGTGTGGCTGTGGCGGAGCTGGGCCCCGTCACCCTCCCTGGCCCTCTCCTCCCAGAGATTCAGAATTCCTCCGGGCCTATGTGAAGTCTCCTCCCCTCCTCGCCCAGAAAAGTCTTCCTGATTGCTGGAGCAGAGCAAGGCGGCCTGGGGAACACCAGGCAGCCTGGGCGGAGGCCATTCTTGGGACAGGATACCAGGGCAGGAACCGGGGACCGGAGCTGAGGCTGCCAGGAAGTCGGTCCCCTTCCCTCCCGGATCATTCTGTGCTCTGCTCACGGCTTCCTCACACCTTCCTTCCTTCCTGCCTCCCTCTCCTTCCCAGCTGGCCCCAGGTGGAGCCCTGACAAAGGTGGGACCAGCCGAGGGTGCTGGGGGAGAGGGGCAGGAGGTCAGAAGTTCAGGCTGGTCTCTGGGGGTGGGAGCTGGGAGCGGGACAGGTGGGTGGTCTGTCCTCTCTGCTCCCCAGCACCCTAGCCCAATGGGACAGCCACCTGTGCAGAAGGAGGCCCCAGCATTTGCTTCAACTTGGAAGAAAGCCTGAGGATTAGGAGCCCTGGCACCCCTCCCTCCCTCCTCTCTGCTTGGGGCTACCTGGGCTACCTGCTGTGGAGGGGAGGGCCAGCCCACGCAGGTGCAGGGGTCATGCTGCCTGGGTTCAGGGGTGGGGCGGTGATCTGGGAGAGGCAGAGGAGTGGGTGGGGAGAGCACAGGGTGCCCATTTTAAAATCTACCTGGGCCCCCCTGGTTCAAGCAGTCCTCTAGTTAGTCCCTAATTATTCCCTTAACGGCACACTCTGCTGGCTTCTTCCCTTAGCTTCCATTCAGCTTTTTTTGGGGGAGGGGGCAGGGAATGTTTTTATTCTGTAACAAAGGAAGGGGCTCTAAGACTCAGCCGGCCTGGGAGTGAGGGGAGGCAGGTACCTGGGCCTCAAAATGTTCAGTTCAGTCCAAGAAGCAAATGGCTGAGCCCGGGGCACAGAGACGGTGCTAAGCCTTCAGCCCTCAGTGTAAGAGGAGAGAGATGGATCCAAGGTGGGGGTGTCGGGAGACCCCCGCACGGGGTCAGGCCTGTCCGGCCTGTGGGCTCACCACTGGGTGGGGGGGGGCTCTCCTCCTCCCATTTGTTTCCTTCCCATCTCTCCCCCCTCATCCACCTCCTCCCTCCAGTCTCTCTTCCTCCTTCCCCTTCGGTGGGCTTTCAGCCTATCTCATGTGGGGGTAACCCTGAATACGGAGGGCTTCTGGGGCCTGTGACTCGGTGTCCCCATCTGAACACTCAGGGCCACTGTCCAACTGGGAAGGAACGGGCTTCCCAGCTGTAAAGGGATCTTCACTTTGGTGGGGAAGGGCCGAGTCGGTGGGTGGTGTGGGAGGGTCTGTAGGAAAGGGGAGGGCCGGCAGGAGGGACGCGTGGCCCTCTTCATGCATGACGGTCCACGCACACGGGATGGACACAGGTGTCAGGGAAGTGAGGAACTGGGCAACCAGGCCAGCGGCCAGCCTAGGGCATCCCTGGCAATTTCCCCAACGGAGTGTTTAGCCACAAAGGGAAGAGCAATTAAAGCTAATCGCTCTGACAGCCCAGGGGCCAGACTCATCGAGAAACAAAACCCCCGTATTCAGCATGTTTCCCGGCTCCCCGAGGTCTCACGCCATGCTGCTTTCACCCGCGCTCTGAGCCTGGGGAGCCCAGCCCCCAGCCCTCTTCCCACTGCTCTGGCCATCTCTGTGTCGTCTCCTCCCCTCCCGTCCCCGACTGCGTCCCTGTCCCTCGCACACATTCCCCTCATTCTCTCCCTCCCCGACTTGGGCTCCATCCTCGGCTGACTCATACTCATTCTTTTTCTCCCTCTCCTTTTCTCCCACCCCCTCCTCCGTCCTTTGGCCACTCCGGGGCTCAGAAACCAGCCAGTCCCAGCACCCTAGGCTCTACGTGGACCCTGCGAGAGAGGCCACCGGCAGCCCCCGACCCTCCCCACCGGCGCAGCCTTCAGAGCACCCGGCAGGCTCCCGGGCGCCGGATCCTGTCCCCCGTCCCGGAGCGGAGCGAGCAGGACTTCCTGCCGTGTCTCCCCTGTGTTGGCGAGCGGGGCCCCCAGAAGCGCAGGGCTGGGAGAATCTGCCCAGACAATCGGGGTGGCAGGGGCCCAGGGCCCCCACCCAGCTGTCCTGCGGACAGATGTTCCTCCTGGAGGCACATGGAGGCAGCGGGGGGAGGGGACGTGTAGTGCGGGGACGGCTGTGATTTGCTGCGGGCGACGCGGTGTGTGTAAGAGTCACATGGGCGTGTGTCACCGTGTGTGCTGGCGTGTCTCTCGTAGGTGTGTGTGCCCCTGTCAGCTCCGACACGGGGCGTACGGAATTAACGGAGCTTTCACGTCGGCCCCCCGCCCCCCAGCGCCCGGCCCCCGACCCCGGGTCCGCCGATCCCCGCGCCGGCGGTGGGGGGTGGGGGGAGCTGTCCGCGCGGGAAGCGGGCTCCCGCCGAGGCCCCGGGCCCGGCCACGCACCCCGGTCCGCGGACGACCCCCGACCCCGGCTCGCCGCCCCGCCGCCGCCCGGCCCCAAGCCCGCCGCCCCCCGGCCCGCCTCTCACCGCCTCGGGCTGAGCGCTCAGGGCGCGGCTCTCCGGCGTCCCGGGTCCTGGGGCAGCGTCCGGAGCCTCCGCCTCGGCTCCCGCCGCTCCTGCCGCCGCCGCCGCCGCTTCCGCCCGCCGAGCCCGAGCCCGAGCCCCGCGCGCGCCCCGCCCGGCCGGCCGGTGACGTCAGCGCCGGGGGCGGGGCGGGGGGCGGGGGTTCTGGAAGGCTCGCGGGTGGGCTGCCGGGGGCGCCGCCCGAGCCCCGGGACTGCGGGGCGCGGCTGCCGGGTGGGGGGGGTGGAGGTGTACGTCCTGCCCTGCGCCCCTCTGCGGACCGCGGCGGCGGGGACCCCGGGGAGCGCCGAGCGGGCGTTTGGGCCTTTGGAGGGCCTTGGGCCTCATCCTCTTAGCGGGCCGACTTGTGTTGGGGGAACCTCTTTCCTCCCCTTCTGGGTCGGGGGACCGGTGGCGAGCGCCCCAGGGACCGCTCCGACTTTATCCACTTTGGAGGGCCGGGGTGGAGGCAAGGGTGCGGGCGGGAAGCAAAGTGGGGCCTCCCTGCCTTGACCTGGAGCCCAGATCTTGTCTGCTCTCTCTCCTTGGGGTGATGGCCCCTGTGTTCCTCTCACCTTTCCCGAATATACCGCCCTCCTGCCTTCCCCCCACCATGATGTAATTTTATTTTCTGGGGAGGAAAAGAGCAGCAGTGAGCTCAGCATACAAATATAGACATCTCGCAAAGCCACACTTAGCTCCCGCTCCTCGCGGTGCCTCTCCGCTCAGGCCCCCCACAGCGGCGGCTCTCACTTCCTCTCCACCCCAGGGACTTTCCTTCCCCAGATTCTCAGCCAGACTGAAAGAGGGAAGGAAGAAGTGGGGAAGGATCTGTCCGCACCCCCTTTCCCGCCTGAGGGCCCTTGCTTCCACTCTGGCACAGTCTGGCCCTGGGAAGAGGTCCGAGCCCCAACCTACGCCTCGGCCAGGATCGCCCTGGCCTCCCCTCAGTTCTGGCCCAGTAGACACCCTGTCAGAAAGCCTCAGGTGAGCCCCTCCTTTCTTGGTCTACACTGCGCCTGAAGACACTCAGGCTCCTGCTGCTTCTCCGTGTTCTTCAGCGACTCTCCCCGTCACCACCCTCTGGGAGAGACCACCTCGTCCTCTGCTCACGTCTGTCTCATGTCACTGGCCCCTTGGTGAGACCCAGAGAAATGGAAGGACTTCTGGACAGAGACAGGGTCAGGTCTCCCTGAGACCGCAGGTGCAGGGGACCTGGGCTTTGCACTGGCCCCGCCCCTTTCTCGTGCTGGGTCTACCTTGGACTCTCAGTGTCCCCACCGGTGACATGGAGATGCTGACATCCACCTGGTTCTCCTGAGACTTGGAAATCCTAAGTGTGTAAGGACTGGCACAGGTGGGCGCTGGAAACCTAGGGTGACTGCTACATCTGGGGCCTTCTGCTGACCGACACTGGACGGTCAGCCCCCCGTTAGCCCTGTGTTAGTCGGGTGAACACACTGTTTCTGCTCAACACGCTTCTGCCTCCACTGGGAGCACTTCCTGGGTTTGTCTCTGAAGGGTGACCCGTGTGTCACGTCATGTCTCCTTCAGCACCTAAGCAGCCCACCCGCTGCTACCCAGGCCCCACAACCGCTGTCCCGTCTGGGAGCTCTGGGCGTGGTCCGTTCCTTGGCTCCCCCACACCACGTCATCTGACCCCCTGACACGTACACCGGCCTGGGCAGTGCTGGGGAGAGGGTATGTCCTTCTTGCCAGGAGCCTTGGCAGCCTGGGTCTGGGGTCGGGATGGGAGCCCTGGAACGCAGAACTCTGTGTCTCCTCTTCATCCCACAGCCACCGCGCAGAACCTCTGAAGGGCTCCGATTGTGAGAGCCCCCCCCCCCCAACTGTTGTCTCCGTCCTCCCCTCCCTCTGTCCATCCGGCTCATCACTGCCACATTTAAGCTGTGTCCTTCCTTCCAGCTCCCAGGTTTAAAGTCGAACTTCTTTGCATCCCGTGACGTCCCCCCATTCTCATGGCCGCCCCTGAGGTTCTCTTCTTTCCTCTCCTGTCTCTTTTGCACCCCCTGTGGGACACTCACATTCTGCTCATGCTTTTGATGCTCTCCACTGACGGGAACGTCCCTTCCCTGTCTCCTTCGCCCTGTCAAACCCCATGGTTCACTGAAGGCCTAGAAAGTGCTCCTTCCCAAAGCCATCAGAGCCCGCTGGGGCCTCTCTGTCCCGATCCTGTGTGTTCTTTCATTCCTTCTGTTAACAGACATTTGTTGGCGGCTCGCCTCTTGTGTGCCAGGCCCTGGGGGGCACAGAGGAGAAGCCTGGCCTCCTGCCTTCAAGCACCCCCGCCCCCACCCCGCAGTCTGGTGGGGAAGAGGGACCTGTCCGGGGAGGGTGAGGGAGCACTGGACTGAAGACGGAGAGAGTGGCCCGTGAGCCCGGAGGAGGGAACCGCAGCAGCCGCCTCTGAGAAGGCCTCCCCGAGAAGAGTTGTTTGGGTTCAGTCCTGTGGGTTCCAAGAAGAGCTGCAGGGAGGGTGCGATCAAGCAGCACATAATCACTTAATTACGTACTGCTTTGTGCTCGGCTTCAGTTGTTGGGCTGCTCGTCTTGACTTCCCAGCGAGGCTAATCAGCTCGAGAGCAGGGACAGGCCCAGCACTCCCCGTTCTCCAGAGCCTCCCAGCGGTGCTGGACAAACACCACGTGTGAGGGGAAAGCTTGTGCACTGGTGGCACATAAACAGTCCTCTCTCCTCTGGGATGACCACCTGGAGGGAGCGCCCCCATCCTGGTGCCCTAACGAGGCCCGCACCCTCAAGCCCCCGTCCTGGGGCTGCCTCTCCCCAGCAGACACTTGCTCATGCTGCCCTAGATCCTTTATTGAGGGCTCCCGATATCTGACCCAAATGCATTAACAAGAGATGGCCGAGAGTCCCAGACACGGGGCACGCCCTTCCTCCTGGCCAGGAATCAGGCCGCCAGAAGGATGGAGGATTTGAGAGTGTGGGGAAGATCGTGCACAGGTGAAGGGAACCAAGGAGAAGAGAATCAGAGGGAAGAGTATAGGGAATGGTGAGTCAGAGCAGAGGGAATGGGGAAGGAAACGGATCATGGAGGGAAGGGATCGTAGGAACAGGGCCGCCAAGGGACAGGAGATGGCCGGCAGAGGTGGCTGTGCTGGTGCGTGGGGATGAGCAGGTCCTGGCCTCGTGGGGCAAAGGTCGGGGTCTCAGCACTCAGCATAGGGCCTCCCTACCGCAGAGGATGGCCCAGTGTCCCCAGAGGAGCCCAGGGAGGGACAGGGTTGGGAGGGAGCCCAGGGAGAGCGGCTGGGCTGGGAGAACGAGGCCACAGCCGCTAGTCATCGTCATCGTCGTCGTCATCGTCGTCGTCCTCCGTGTTGATCTCGCCTTCCAGCACGTCCTCCAGCCAGTCCTCCAGCTCCTCTGCGGACGGCAGGTCCTCCTCGTCGTCCATCTCCATCCACACGCTGTCCGCCTGGGGTGAGGCACAGACAGGGGACTGGAGCTAAGCCCCGACTCGGGTCTGCAGACCTGTCTTCTCCCCTCACGGGGCTCCCTCCATCCTTCTCTACATCCTCTGTCCCCCTCCCTTCACCTGTCACCGGCCAGGGACGCTATCCAGGTGAAGGTCTAGGTGGAGGGGTGACGGGTTGGGGGACAGGGTTGGCTGGGTTGGCCTCTGATGGGGAACCGCAGGCGGCCAGAGAGCCAGGTTAGCCACCATTCAGCTTTTCATAACCTGCTTTTCCAGCCCTGTTTGCAGAAGCCTCTAGTCTTGCAAGCTATAAAAAAGGACTTGCCTTTTCCAGAACCTGATACTCATTTTCCTACTTTTGACCTTTCACACTAACTTTCCCGTCGGTTTGGAAAGACTCATCATCAACCCCGCGAGCGTCCGGCCTCCTCCAGGCCGCCCGGTCTCCACGTTCAGGGCCACTCCTTCGAAACCCTTCTCTCCGATTCTCTCCAGCAGAAGCTGCTTTGATTTCTGGGGCTTCCTAGCATTTTACGAGTCTCTTTGTAATCGAGTTTATAAAATCTGGCTGGGTTGTTAACAAAATACCTGCCTCCCTGGTCACAGGGAGAAGGGGATGAACGCAAAGACTGGCTTACTCCGTTTCCCTGAACAGACTTGCGGAGGCCACCTGCTGTGTGTGAATGAGCTTTCTGTCCTCCAACAGCTCAGAGTCTACCCGAAAGGGGAAAGGCGGGTGTGATGCAGAGCTAGGGGAACCAAAGTCCCCGTTAGCAATGTGACATGGGCTCTGGGGGTGCCAATGGGGGGGGCCTGACTCCAAACGGGAGATCTGGAGAGGATGGTGGGCCAGGCCTGGAAGGAGGAGGGCAGGGGGCTGTGTGCTCAGACTCTGAGTCTCTGGGGATGTCTGACTTCTGGGGGGCGGTCGGCGGAGCAGGGAGAGCTGGATGGGCTGGGAAGCAGAGCTGGGGGGCAAGTGGGGCATGGGGGAAGGAAACTCACATCGGTGACGTTGACCACGCCTATCTGCGGCGCTGACAGGTCGATGTCAAATGTCTTCTCCCAGTAGGGCACCAGCTGTGGAGAGACCACATACGGTAACGAAACAGCGTCTGGAAACACGTGTGTCTAGCACGGGGAGTGTAGAGGGTCAGTCTGGGGACAGGGGAAGGTCACTATGAACTCACGCTGGAGGATGGGGGACGGTCCCCCTGTGGGGCCTGAAGGGAAGGTGTAGACGGGAGCAGTTGCGGGTAAAAATCCCAAAGGGAAACTATCTGGAGGGGTCAGCTGAAGACACTGGCCCAGACTTTCCCAGGAAAACTGGATCAGAACCTGTGTTCCGATCCTGGCTCTGCTACCACCTGATCTTGCGACTTTGGGCAAGTCACTTCTCAGGGACCCTCAGGCTCTGCATCTCTAAACTGAGGCCGTTGTCCCCAATAATTGCCAATGTTCCTCACATATCTGTTCATTCTGCTGCTCCTTCAACGACGAGTTCGAGTGTTGGGGATCCGGCTGGGAGCGAAGCTGTCCCCTGAGGCACGGACTCTCCCCACTTCCAGTCTGTGATGGTGTAGAACTGTCTGCAGGGTTCATGGGC